ATGACACACACAGACACACACACACACACACACACACACACACACACACCCACACACACACACACACACACACACACACACACACACACACACACACACACACACACACACACACACACAGCCTCGAGGAAGAAATAGTTCCAGTGTTTGATTTTTTTTTAAATGAATTTACATCATCTCAAACATGACAGCTACATTTTAAAAACCTGATGGAGACAGTTTTGCACTTCTAAAAAGTTGTATACATATCATTTCACTTAGCTATCAACAGGGGAACACCAAGTGTGTCTTACCTGAGAGTCCCAGCAGAGCAAATGTTCTCCTGTTGAATCCAAATCAAAGTGTTTTTGGTTCTCATGTTGCCTGCTGAGCTGCACTTTTCCTGCAGCCTGAAGCCAAACTCAAGGTTGTCAGCTGATGTTAAAGGGCTTCTCCTCCCGCTCCTGTCTCTGCACGGCAGGTTTTGTGTGTTTTTGTTCCTGTAAAGCGTGCAGCAGCCTGGCCGGAGCGTCCTGCATGCTTTCTGACAACCTTGGATTTTATGCATCATGCTTTTAATAAGCGCCGACAACACAGAGGAGAAGCCTCTCCAAACTTAACCCCCTCCAACTCCAACACACACACACACACACACACACACACACACACACACACACACACACACACACACACACACACACACACACACACACACACACACACACACACACACACACACACACACACACCTCTTAAGGCTGCCTGATCCTTGGATTTGCTGGGTTTAGTATTAAGAAAATACTCCTGCAATTTGGGATTAGACCCCAAAAACCCTCACAACAACAATGACTCCGTCCATTTGATATCTTGATACTTGTGATCAATTACTGGCTTTGTTGCCGTCGGCCACAGCCAATTTCGGAGGGCCCACAGAGGAAATGAGACCCCAAACATATGCAACATTATCATTTCTGCACAACCTGCCATTTGTTTTATTTTGATTGTTTTATTAATAGGCTGTGTTGTGCCAGGAGAAGGCCACCATAAGGTTACATTTCTCAACAGGCACTTCCTGCATTATTTAATTACTTATATTGTGTGGAACTTAAGCAATTTGTTCACTAATAGGTTACCTAATTAATATGTTTATTAATGTAGAAGGCCTATATAATTTGCAGAAAGTATTGTTAACATAATGTAGCCTCTGCATTTGCCTTAAGTGTTCTGTCAATAGTCACAAATGCAATAGACACATTTACAAAAGCAGAACATATTTATGATTCTTGATTATTTAGGGAATCCTGTTTATTTAATTCACATGTCGTTCAATTTAAATAGTTTAAATCATGAAAGCAGAATCTCTGTTTAATCAGATACACATGTTTAATTAGTGCATTTCTTTTTTGTTGGCAGATATTCTTTATTTATTTCTGAGTTGAATCAGCTGGTTGAGATTATCAGTGTTGTTTAGAGGCGATAATACCTCCTGTTGTATTCAATGGATCCACTATAGGCTTATATTTAGAGTTAATAAAAAAGATTACCCTATATTTTTTGGGCCTTAGACATTTTTAAAGTGATTTGTTGCAACGAAAAGTAGTTTAATCCTGATAGTGCATGGGCCTGGCAGCTTTAATAAAGTACTCTAAAAAATGTAATGGGTCACTTGGTATGCCATAAACCACATTAAAGCGTAATTGTTGTTTTGTTTACGATGCAAACAAACTCAAATGTGCCAGTTCAATTTGACTTCTTCCGTCATAGGCAAAATATGGGTCAACTGCTGTGCTAATAGCGTCATAAAGCGAAACAAATAAAACATTACAGAGTGTGCATAATTACTGTTTAACGTCAACTAGTGTGTCTTAAATTAGCGGCTAAATCAGACAGGAGTCGCTGTAATGGCAGCCGGCCGTTTCTCTCCTTCAACTTTCCGACACGAACGTTCCCTCCGCGTCATGTGACACGCGTTCCATCCGAAGAGGGGCGGGTGTTTCGGCGCCAAGCTCCCAAGCTGATTGGCCGCCCGCATCCCCCTTCCATCCGCGGAGCGCTGTGATTGGCTGGGAGGACTCAGAGCAGAGTGCTTCCCTTGACTCATAGAGCGTGGGGCCTCCGAGACGAGCATCAATCTCTTTATCCGTCAACACCGACAGGAGAGAGAAGTATTGCGGAGCGAGAGTAAAAAAACAACAATTCTTTTTTATTTCTCTGCGTAGAAATGTTTGTTTTCTAGTTTCGAAACTGCTGAACGTGCGTTACCTCTGCCAGAAAACAACAAACTTTCCTCCATGTGGATATTTTTTCGAAATCTGGATCTCTTTGGTTTGACATTTAACAAGGATTAAAAGAAAGAAGGAGTCTGAAGAAGGTGAGACTATACCTGCTTTGATTTTGTTTTCATTCATCCTGTGTATTCCCCCTTTATTAACAGTAAATGCCATCGCTTACACTAACATTAACCTGCTGAAATTATATTTAGGGCAACAGCTATTTATTATTTAAAATATATGTTTAAGTAGCCTACATCTTAATTTGGAAGCCCCTAAATCAAGACTGTAATAAACGAAAACACACTGATTTAAATGTATTGGCCTATTTGTTCATATTTAAAAAGCTTCATTGATTTGTCTCCTATGACAAAGAGGAAAACAAAATAGCAACATTTCCCCCCCTTGTATTTAATGTAACTTTTACTTAAAGGTGGGCTTTATCTGTATCTGTTTTAGCTGTATTTCCTCCCATCAGTTCAGCCTGCGGTCCGGTTGCTCTCCTGATAACAGCCTTTCTGCTAATTGTCGCCCTGTAGATCTAATCTAAATTGTAATGGACTTCATTTGCAAACAGTTTTAAAAGAATTTACATTCTGTGCCTGGGCTCCTTCCTGCGGTTATGGAAATAAGAAAGTCTTTATGTGGAGTGTTAACGCCTCAGTTCAGGTCCCTTCACTGCAGAAAAAGCTGCTATTAGTCCGAAATGTGAGCCTTGTATACCTGCTAAAAGGACCCCAGTGGATTATGGAAATTCTTATCTAAATACATTGTCTTACACTAATACTGACAGTTAATTACTAAGGGAGTTTATTAAGCTTAAGTTCTGCAAGAAACAAATCAGTAAATCGGGATATTTATTAATTCTGACTTTAGATATGTGTCTCTTTACAGGCTGTATATAATGTTCATTTAATTATGTATATCATCAGTCTTTAACCACATGTTTTGTATTTAATTAGGCTACATTTAATACTCTATACTAACTATTGTTCAGCTTCATTTAGATGCATAATGTGACAGTGTGTGTTTATCATGTTTTCATCGTGTTAAAAGTTCACATGGTTTCTTACATTTGCGGAAAAAGAGCGTCAGAGAGACAAATAATAAATATACATTGCATTAAATTACCCTAAAAGACATGGCAAAAGTCAGCAAATGGATATTAGCAGATACATTAAGTCCAACAAACAAATTAAAGCATTACCGAAAAAATGGGACACTGCAAAATCCAGAAGTAGAAAAAATAACATACGTTTTATTTAATGCATCAAGTCTGAGTCTCTAATTGAGTAAATAAGATTTAGTCTGACATTCCTGCAGAGATATTCAGAGGTGAGAGAAGTCTCGAGTGGCCTGTAATTTAAACGTGTGTCTCCACAGGTCGATTTAATTGTAAGCTATTGAATTAATTAAAACGTAATGAAGATCCGAGTGATAACAGGCCTCTGTGATGCTGCTGTGTCACTGGGGTCTGCATTAGCAGCAGTTTGCCCATCGTTACTATCATTATTATTTACAATAAGAGTTTCTCCCACTTAGCTGAGTGACACTTTTCACCTTAAATGTGTCTTTGATTTACTCAAACTGACTGTAACTGTTGTTATCTCTAAACACTACAAAGTTAAGGTATAATGTCGTTTTTATTTCACATTTATAAATAGTTATTGTGAGTATTTGTAGCCTACTTTCTCAATTTGAGCTTGAAGTGTCTTCGTGGCCTGGACGTCCCTTTTTATTTCTAGATCAAATTAGGATGCTTCAACAATTTAACGTGCACATGCAGATCAATTCTCCTTAAAACTAACATATTTTCCACTTCAATTATTACAGCTATTTTTAATTGGATCAGATTTAGCTTGTAAATAAGTCCGAGGATTATTCCCGAGGCCATCTGGCTTCATTACTTTGTGAAATCACATCCTTGGTCTTTTAGGAATTAATTAAAAACGTCCAAAACGTGAAATACACACGTTTTTATTCACAATCAGCAGGGTTAATCACATTGACTGATTGCACAGTTTAATGCTTTCGACACTGTTCAAAACATGCTGTTAAAGTTCATATAAATAGACCGTAAGAAAGTGGTTTTATTTAGGGGGGAAATGTGACTTTTAATCAGTTTGTATGAGTTTGGTTAAGAGTTAGATAATAAAAGAGGAGGCCTTCGTAGAAAAGTAAAATGTATTTTCCTTATTGAACACAAACTGGCTTTTTATTAGGTCATAGTATGCATTAACACTTATAACCGATAATTACATCGTTTATTTCAGTGTATTTCGACGTGATTTCTTCAAACTCACCGTGCTTCTTTGTCTCGGAGGAGCCGAGTCATTTACATTTGCTTTCAACACTGTAAAAAACATGCAGTGAAATTAGAAAAGTTGCCAAGTAGTGAATTGAGCTTTTAAGACAAAATGACTGATCTCGAAAATATGTGTGACTTTTAATCAGGTTAGTTAAGAGTTACGATAAGAAAGTGGAGGCCTATTTAAAATGTGTTTCTGCTTAACTGAACACAGGCCGTTGTGTTTTATCACGTTGTTTGATGCATCATTAAAAAGTGTATTTCGACTTATTTCTTGCCCAAACTCACGGAGCTTCTTTGTCTCGCAGTATAGCTTCACACCGGGGGATTTTCACACCTTCACACCGGGAGACCTGCACCTCTCCTCCCGTCCAGACCCCGGTCCCCCCCCCCCCCCCCCCCCCCCCCCCCCCCCCCTCCCCTCCCCTCACCCGGGCTCCAGCATGATGTCTTACCTCAAACAGGCCCCGTACGGGATGAACGGGATGGGCCTGAGCTCCATGGACCTGCTGCACCCGTCGGTGGGATACCCCGGTACGGAGCACTTATACCGGGGAAACTAGACCAGTTAAAGCAGATTTAAAATACAACTTTACAGGGAATTAATCACTGTGGTTTTAAACAACACGTCTAAAGGTTTTACATCGGACCACAAGAGCAGACATATGCAAAATAACATCTTAAAAATACAACTTCAATACATCGTGGTTAACACAGCACTCTTGCATAAATTAGATTACATTTATCTTATAATAAAACCTGTAAACTTTGTTTCTCCAAATATTTCGATATTACTGTTATGGTATGCTGTGGTGTTACTGTTTTTATTGTTATTATAGGCTTTTTATGTTTACGGACATGTGCAAAAAACGACTTATAATACAACTTTCCAGGGAATTATTCACTGTGGTTTTAAACAACACGTCTGTGGTTTGACATCATCGGACCACAAGAGCAGACATGTGCATAATAACATCTTAAAAATACAACTTCATTTCACTGTGGTGTATAAGTTAGACTACATTTATCTTATAATACAACCTGTAAAATGTGGTTCTTCAAATATTTCGATGTTACTGTTAGGATATGCTGTGGTGTTGTTTTTCTTTTTTATTTGAGGCCTTTGTGTTTATTTCCCCGGTACGGACCACACATACAACAAACTATTTTAAATACAACTTTCCAGGGAATTATTCAGTGTGGTTTCTAACAGGTCTTACATGTCTCTTAATAATACTTCCATATCTCCAAATATTTCGATTTTACTGATTGGCTATGCTGTGGTGTTCCTTATATTTGGATACCTCACGATTGTATGATCAAGACGGATATTGTTCTTACATCCATTTGAAGTAATAGGCTGCTTTTACACCGATAAATACTCCTGTTGTCTGGTTAGTAATAACACATACAGTCGAGTTAAATAAATTATTTTGAAGTTAGTTTTAGAAGCTGAACAGAAAAGGTGATGATTGCTATTTGGGACACTTGGTGTATGCACGTTTAACGATGTGTGTGATATTAGTCTTTGATTCTAACTCGGTGCTTCTGCATTTTGCACAATGAAGTTGTAATTTGTAAAAAGAATAGGCTAGTTTAGTTACGTCTATCGCTTTAATGTCGATGATAATACGCTCCTCTATCGATGCACTTTTTAAAACGTTGTTATACTCGAAAGACGTCGAAATAAGCGAAAGAAACTGGGGTTCTGCAAATGGAAAAATGACAACAAAAACAAGTAGGGCCTAAAACAAAAATGAAGACACGGCCTGAGTAAAACAGTGAAACTATCCAAACAACTGCATTTACGCAGGATGGATCTCACAATATATGACAAGATTCAGTCTCTAACTTTTTGAGCAATATTCAAGTTGTTTTTGAAAGTCCTGGACAGAGTAATTTACGAGTTTTTTGTATTTTTCTTGCAGGAAACCCGCGGAAGCAGCGCCGCGAGCGGACCACCTTTACGCGGACGCAGCTGGACATCCTGGAGTCGTTGTTCGGCAAGACGCGCTACCCGGACATCTTCATGAGGGAGGAGGTGGCGCTGAAGATCAACCTGCCCGAGTCCAGAGTGCAGGTACGAGGAACTACACATACTACACCACAATACATATAACAAATAACGTTTTTAACCTCATTTGTTTGGAAAAGGGGACATTTAAACTTTTAAAAATACTAATTATAATCGGATTTAAGAGGTTTCAGTTGAGTTTACTCTTACTTCAATCTGCTGAGGTTAATCAAATCACCTTTCTATTGCATTGACTCTATTTTGGTTATAAGCAGTAACTTGTAATTAAGTGATAGCAGTAATACCAAAGTGTAGAAACACTCTGTTAAAAGTAACATTCATCAAAAGTTTACTTAAATGAAAGCACAAATGAATTAGAAAAATATACTTAAAGTACCAACACTTAAAGTAATCATTATGTAAAATAGCCATT